AAGGTAGTAAAATAATAATAATACTAAAGAAAAATATTCGCAAGGAAAACAATAGGGCCTTCGCCCTTTCAGGGCTTGGGCCCTAATAATAGTGAAGAAAAATAATCCCAAGGAAAACAATAGGGCCTTCGCCCTTTCAGGGCTTGGGCCCTAATAATAGTGAAGAAAAATAATCCCAAGGAAAACAATAGGGCCTTCGCCCTTTCAGGGCTTGGGCCCTAAAAATAATCGGAAGGAAAACAATAGGGCCTTCGCCCTTTCAGGGCTTGGGCCCTAATAATAATAATAGAAAAGAATAATCCTAAGGAAAACAATAGGGCCTTCGCCCTTTCAGGGCTTGGGCCCTAAATATAGCTGCGAGCAGCGATGGCGGGCCCAAGCCGGTGGCACCGCAACCCCGGTTCCTTTAGTTACGTAAAGGCACCGGGGAGGCGGTGCCGCAGGCTTTGGCCCTTTCATGATTAAATGTTAAAACGGCTTGCCATACTCTATCTGTCATTTCGACTAGTCACAATTACATTACAGATATCTATTAAATGATAATACAAACTATCCAAAATGTAATTACGACTAGTCAGAAAGACGTTGTTGATATCTACAATGTTAATTCCGGATAGGCAAACTTAGCTTTTAAATGTTGAAAGGGCTTGCCATACAGGGACGTAGGCTCAGAGAGAGGCTCACCATATTCAAACCAAAATATCTGACTTCCCCTTGGTCCGAGCTAATGACTATGAATTAGAAAGTTGTCCGGCTTGAGGAGTAAAATGTATATACCGATTTTTGTAACTGTAGATAAAACTAACAACGCCACTTTTGTCAAAAGGTGGCGCTATTTAGTCCCTGCACCATGCCCGTTTCTGAAACTTTGCACATGTCTACTGGCTAATAAATGTGATGTGTCTGTTGATTTTCATGCAATTTCAAGCATGCTAAGAGTCTCAAAAGCATCCTAAAATAATTTCAAAGTTTTTATGCGTTGCCACGGCAACAGTATCAGATATATCAAGAATCCATTCTCAGGTCTTCATCTGCCATGTATTTACATTATACAGATGAAGTTTGAAGCAAATCGGGTAAAAATAAAAGGATGATTTTAAAGCATTTGGAAAGTGACACACTTTCTGCTGCCAGTTGGTGGCGCTATAACTTTCTCACAATAGTCACATCCATGTGATCGTCCTCTTACAGCGAACACACTGCTGAAGTTTCATCAAGATCAGTTAATGTATGCTGAAGTTATAACACACTTCCTGTTTCACGTTTCTCGCCATGATTTCGTTTCCTCGCCACGGACAAACCGTTCGAGATATCAAAAATCCTCTTGCAAACTTTCATCCTCAATGTCTTGACTTCACGCTGACCGAGTTTCGTCGAATTTGGATCAAAGCTCTAGGAGGAGTATTTGACATTCCATTGCGAGCGTTTTACAAACAAACCTCAATAGCCGACTTCCTGTTGGGCTGGGGTAAAAAGTAAGAGCGCGAGGTATAGATGAAACGATGAGATCAACATGTGTACAGAGTTTCATATTATTACATACAAGCGTGTTTGAGTTATGGACCAAGTGTAATCCTAACAGTTTCAATAGGGTCCTCGCACTGTTAGTGCTCGGGCCCTAATAATAATCCCAAAAGTTTCAATAGGGCCTCGCACAGTTAGTGCTCGGGCCCTAAAAATAATTTTATTTATAAATTAATTTCACTGTATATAGTCTGAAGTATGAAAGAAATGTATGTACATTTTTAGAATAACTCATTTCTAAATTAAAGGTACAATATGCATGATTTTTGCAGTAAAATATCCAAAAACCACTAGGACAATATTATATATTTTGTTTAGTTGATTACTTACAATATCCCAAATGTTTTCAACTATTTGTAAATTGTGAGAAAATTGCGATTTTAACCAAGGAAACGGGGCGTGAGAGCAGGGGTGAGGAATCGCCAGTAGGGGTGTAACGGTACATTTATTCGTATTGAACCGTTTCGGTTTGAGGCTTCCGGCAAACCGAACGATTGCTTGGACCATTTTTCCTGCCGGCAAAATTCGCGCTGGTGCGGCCAACACAACGTTGCGCAACATCAAATGGCAAACGTAATGAAAGCAGAACGAAACTGCGCTACTCATTATGTGCTTCACGGATCATTTATCAGTTCGGACCAGCAACATCTGTGCTCCGCGAGCCGATCTCGATCAAGCAACACTGTTACCACACCGCGCTAAGAGATCCGGTAAAGAAATCCGGTAAGAAGAGATCGCCACTCAGGTAATAACATCGCTGCGAGATCTAGTGAGATGCATTCACATTTCTCCGTTATTAACCGTAGATCTCTATTAGATCAAACTGGCCTTGGAAACCAGGAGAAACATTGTGCCGTGAATGAACTAGTAATACTTTACGTCCACAGACCAGCAACATTCACCATGGATTTAATATAGTAACACTAACTGGAACCAGTTTGGCTGGAATGGTGAAATGCTTTCAAGTACTTCACACATCTTTTTCCAGCACTTCAAAATTCAAATATTATATAAATAAATATATATTTAAATGTTATTTTTAATGTGATGACCAAAACATTATTTGTTTATCCTTCAATGACCCCCATTTATAAACCTGAAAGTTACAAGATCTAGGAAAACTCACATTTATTTAAAAATATTTTTTCTTTAAGCAAATAGGAAATTTATCTGGCATTTCTTTCTTTTTGCTGTATCGAAAACGTACCGAACCGTGACTTTAAAACCGAGGTACGTACCGAACCGTGATTTTTGTGTACCGTTACACCCCTAGTCGGCAGTCAATGACGTCACATCCGCGTTACCCCCGGTTTCCGCCAGGTTTAACATCCTACTGCAAAAGTAACCATGGCGACAGACGTTGACAACTGGGTCGGTTATGCCAGTTATGCCTAGAAGGACGCTCACGCTGTTGTTGTTTTGTTCATACATTATGGAGCATGGCAAGCAGACTTTGAGACAAAAAGAGGACTAAAACGCGAGATCAACATCTTTCGAGATGCCAAGAGCTCCACATCCGCGACTAACTTCGACTTAGACCCCATTTACACCTGGTATTAAAATGCGATCTGTATCCAGATAAGTTATACGGATAATAAGTACTGATTCCATTTACACCTGGCCACATAAATGTGTTTTTGCAAAACGGATATAAATCCGATCTTCACCTCCTGCGTTATATGCAGATTTATTAGATTGCACGCCACCAAAAGCAACAGATCTGAGCGGCATTTTATTGATCATCAGCTAATTTCCAAATCAGAGACATCAATAAGAGAGAGTGGCAACAGGCCTGGTAAGATAATTTCGTTTCTTTACTTGAAGATGTGTTAACTGCGTCTGTGACTTACTTTCACTTTTATTTGCGATGTTTGCACGTTGAATAGACGCTCAGCTGCTCATCTGCGGTGATGCGTGTCGCATCTGACTAGGCTATAACATGACATATAGCCTATATAACACGCTCTCACTCGTTTATTTTTTAGCATTTTTGGGAGGAGTAAAATATACATATGTGGTTTCAACAACCAGATTGCGTTTACACCTAGTAAAGATCCGGACACAATGCGAACCAGACTACCTCCAGATGTGGTCAGGCAGATCCGATCACAACGCGTTTACACCTTGCATTAACATGCGTTTTTTATTATCCGGATAACTTATCTGGATACAGATCGCATTTTAATACCAGGTGTAAACGGGGTCTTAGAGACGCAAGTGTTGCAGGTTACTTCATTAAACAGGTGAGCAAATGTTGAGCATGGTGAGCAAACTAATCAATGTTATTTATTTAGTTCAACATGATGAAAAGTTAGAATATGATCTGAATGTTATTCTCTAATGTTAATCTAGCTTAGTCTCATACAGCCAACAAACAACCTAACTAACGACATTCAACACACTCAAAAGCTGTTTAGTGTGATAGTGTAATGTTAGACCGATTTGAAGCAGCGCTGCGTTACCTCAATTTTAATTCCTCTAATAAACTGACCTGTGTGAGTAATTCAGCACTTGCGTGTAGTTCGGTAGAATGAAATGTACTTACTCCTTTACATCCTCTGCACTCGCGTTGCGTGTGGCGCTGATATCTGTCTCTCATTAGCAATTGCTCACTGCTTCACACAGTCAAGTTAAAAACATCAGTGTATTCACTGATCCATTAAAGATCCATCAGTTTGACGACAAGACCCATAATTTCGTTTAACGCTGAATATACGTTATCAATATACGTCTTTGTTATTGTAAGAGGTTAATGACCGCTGGTGTTGAAAAAAATCATGCATATTGTAGCTTTAAACACAACAATACAGCATTGCATTCGCGATTCTCTTATGATTTAAGGCGACACTTCCGTTTTTTCCCCACTGGAGCCATTTCAAAATGCCAGCTGCGTGAAATCAGCATTTAGTATTTTCAAGTAATCCAAAACGAGAAAAACGAGCCCACGAGGAAGAATCTACATAAGAAATTTTACCAACTCAAAGTAAGGGAGAAACAAAAAAGAAAATTTATAGATATAACTCCGAGTGGAAAAAGGAAATAAAGACAAAAGAGTGGCCAGCAGACATGCTAGATCTGTAACACACACTATGCACTAAACTAAAGAAAAGATGCAACTGTTGACAGGATTAGTCTCATAGAGGAGTGTCATGGAATAGGTCAGTGCTAATTTGCAAAAAATAGTTTTTATTTAGTGATGTCTGCCCCCACAGATCTGTTCTACTATGTGTAATGTTAAGGTGCAGGGTGTTATGTTTCTGTACTCTTCCATTTTTAGCAAATAAATAAAAAGTTTGTCTATAAACTGTTTTTGTGATGGTTTGTATTTAAGTGATGAACTCCACCACTTGTGTTTGTTTTCAAGGCTGGCAGCAGACAGCAGCCTGTGCTACAAAACTTTCAACCTCTGTAGCATCTGTGCTATGTGCAGAAAAAGTTAATGTACAGCCCTGGTAAGTATATCATAAATAGATTATTAATATGAATTATTCTTAGTATACACACACACCTTGTTCCTCCAGGCGTGCGATGTGCACCAGGGCTCTGTTCTTGGTGCTGTGTAACAGATTGTTCATACGGTCCAAGCAAGCTCTCAGACTGTTCTCTACTGCAGGAAGACCACTGGACTCCCGCAGTCTCTCACAGTACCACGCACAGCCTTGCAGGAGCCAAACCACGGTACACAGCATTGCGCGACACAGGCCTATACACTCCTCTGTCTTTCCATGGCAGCTACAGGAAAGAAATACAATAGAGAAAAACATATTACTTCTGTCGAAGCCCAGGAAAACTGCATCTCACTGACTGTTAGACAGACTGATGCGACTAACTGATGGATGGCTACCTGAGGCAGTTGGAGAACATGCCCAAGACCTCAAGCAATGATTTGATGCATAGCTCTCGTGAAAAATCATCAAACTGTGGATAGACAAATGGAAATTTAGTAAATTAAACTGAGTCATATTAAAAATATAATATGTTTTAAAACAAACACAAACCTTGCTGATTGCTGTCAGCACACTAGAGTATGACACCATCTACAGGTGGAAGAGAGAATATCATGTCAAAAAGTTGCTGGGCCTATTGCAGTCACCTTGAACTTATACTGACACTTAATGGTGTAGATGCAGCATCACACAAAAGTAAAGCTTACAGTTCCTGTTGTTGTTGTTGTTGTTGTTGTTGTTGTAAGTGCAGTATTAGCAGACAGTCATCATGATTAATTTATTCTGTGAGAAAAGTTGCAAATAACAGGCTATGATAAATCAAGCACTGCAAGCAGTACGTTTTACCTGTGAACTGATAGCATACTTCAAGTAGGACAAGATGAGAGGGTTGGGTGATGGGCCAATCATAGCCTGCTCCAGAAGAGCCTCTGTATCAGGAGAAACAATTATGACACCTTAACAACAACACAACAGGTTACATGCATCACAGAGTGTCAACTAACACAGCGGCTGTCAACTGGAGAGTCGCAGGTCTGTTTTGACAGGGTTGTGGACAACAAAGAATAAATAAATAAAATATAAAAAGCAAATAATAAAATGTGCCATATGGGGCACATAAAGTTGTCAGGGTTTTTTTTTATAGAACAAAATTACTTTGTAATACTACTGCATATTGATATTACTTAGCACCTGGCAGTTTGTGTGTGTGTGTGTATTTATATTTATTTAAGGGCTGTGCAAAGATTAATTGCGATTAATCACATCCAAAATAAAAGTTTGTGTTTACATAATATGTGTGTGCTGTGTATAACTATTTTGTAAATAATACATATGCATGCATGTATACATTTAAGAATTATTTGCACGTAAATACTATATATATATATATATATAAAATCTATATTATATATAAGTATTTTATATATGAATAATAACACATTTTGTTAAATATATACATGCATGCGTGTTATTTATATATACAAAATAATTATACACAGCACACACAATTATATTATGTAAACGCAAACTTTTATTTTGGATGCGATTAATCGGAAATTAATCTTTGCACAGCCCTAACTTATATATATAAAATCTAAAAAAAAAAATAATAAAAAATAATTAAAGTATTATATCTAAGCCTTATATCATGTAGCATATTTGACTGATTTCTGAAGGATCATATGAAACTTAAGACTGGAATAATGGCTGCTGAAAACAGAAAATAAAAAACTGAAAAAAGTTATTCTAAATTGTAATAATATTTCACAATATTACTATAATTTTGATCGAATAAAGGCCGTCTTAGAGAGCATACGAGATGTGTACATGATTCCTCAACAGTGGGCAAAATTAATTGTTCACAAATTTCTAAACCTGGGTTGTGTATAGTGTGATACAGTAATTTCTCCATTTAATATGAGATGATATATTTAGATATGACCTGCTAGATTGAGGTAGTCCCATGTGGCTCCTTTAGGACAGTTCTTCTTGATGTTAATGGCCCATTGATAATCGCTCCAGCGCTCCTTCCACGCCTGCAGGATAGCCTGCTTCAGATTCACCACCTTCATTCTGTCTGTTTTAAAAACTATACATCGAAACATTAATTAATCAACCATATATAAATGGAACTCTTTTGTGTACGGCAGAAGAACGACAGACTCAGACAGACAGACGAGATCTCTACTCATAACGTCTCACAGAAAAATAACACACAAAGTTCTCGCAAAGGGTGTATAAATAAAATGTACAAATTGGCTAAAAAGAAAATTTGGGATTTATTGTTTTTTAAAATGCTGCTTACCACAAAAGATTCCAATTTATGCAGTAAATGAATCAAGTTTTTGTTCATTTCCAATTCTCAACACCTCAGCGCTGCCATTTTGTTCTGTAAGATCACGTCCGCTGATTGGCCGAGAATGTCTGTTTGCTGCAGTATAGTTCAATCCGATTGGATAATGTGATATCGGATGTGATATTCTTCTTCTTCTTCTTCTTCTTCCTGTTTAATGGCGATTAACTCCTAAGGAGCATTATGGCCACCTACTGTGCTGCTAGATGGTAAATTAACCTTGGGTGATGAGTCTGGATTCAAAAAAAAAAAAAAAAAAAAACCTTTCTACCTATATCATCCCACAGACATCAACAGACATCATTCATTATCATACCTGCAATAGAGGTTTCATTGGGCTTCATCCGGCGCTGCGTGTTCAGCTCCTCCGTCCACACTCATCCCCCATGGCAGGTTCAACATTACACACTTACTATAATCTATATCCCAAACCTGAATCATATATGAATGTAAATAATGCTATATATATATCTGTCTATCCATTAGCACCTTTTCCTAGAATGATCCTCACTCTTCATTCTTTCCTCTCCATTCTTCAAATGACTGAATAACACATCCCGAAAAATATTATATTTACTACAACTAAATAATACATGACAAACATTTTCAGATACACCACATAATCCAGTCTCATGTAATCCCATAATTGCCAGTGTTGAGTTTAACCCTGTATGTCCCAGTCTTAACGGGTCTTAACCTAGACAGCAAAACCTCTTCTTTCCTATTTCCTCCCTGGCAGTTTACCCTCCCTACTATCTTTGTGATACTATGACACCACCTCCATTTGCTACTACTATCCCATCTAATTTGCCATTTATTTATTAACTTCCTCTTTAAAATCGATTTTGCCTCCTTTTTCCCCATAGGTACTCTAACATCCACCTCTCTCTTTTCTAGTGCTTTTTTTGCTAGTTTATCAGCAACTTCATTACCACATACCCCAACATGTGCTGGTACCCAACAAAAATACACTCCTATTCCAGCCTCTTTCAGTCTGTATAATGATAAATATATTTCCATTATCAAATCTTCTCTGTCTGATCTTGCATGTAATATACTAATTAAAGCTGAAGAAGAATCTGAACATATGACTATTTTATTTGGTCTGACTTGTTCAACCCATTGTAGTCCTATTATTATAGCCTAGCGGTTAACTCTGCAGTGTACACGGACACCTCATCAGTCAACCTCAAACTAATCTGTTTTTTAAAGTGTGGAATAAACACTCCTACTCCAACCTTTTGACTGATAGGTTCCTTAGAACCATCTGTAAATATTTGTAATACTGTATAAAATGTGTTATTTAAAAAGGCATTAATCTCCTTTCCAATGTACTCTTCTTTGGACTTGTTTAATAAACTCAAAACTACAAGCGGTTCAGGGACTTTCCAAGGTGGAGTATCAGTAAGTGGTATATTGGGACAGAAGATCTTATTGTCCATGCAGCATTCCTTAGCCCATACTTTACTCTTCCATCCAAAACTGTGTCCTTCATCATATGAGTATTCCCAGCACTCCTCCAATACTTTGCGAGTAAGGTGATTATTTGCTGATTGTTGGAGATTTACCCATGTAATTGCCAGTTTTTCCTTTCTAATATCTAGAGGCATCTCTCCCATTTCTACTCCAATTGCATCTACAGGGGATGTTTTAACTGCTCCACAACATAATCTTAATGCTTTAGATTGAATTATATCTAATTTTTTCAGCAATGACTTTGATGCTGAACCATATACAATACATCCATAATCAAAACAAGAACGAATCAATAATTGATACATGCACAACAATGCACTACGGCTATCTCCCCACTTGTGACTAGCAACCGTACGCATACAATTTAAGATTTTCTTACATTTTGACTCAATTTTACTTATATGACACTTCCATGTTAGTTTTTCATCAAACCATAATCCAAGATATTTAAAAACAGGTACTCTTTCCAATGTTTGTTCATATAACTTCAGATCTAACTGTTCATTCCTCTTGTTCTTTGTGAATATCATATATTGTGTTTTAGATACTGAAAACTTTAGACCCCAGTCCAATGACCATTTTTCCACTTCTTTAATTGACTCCTGTATACCTTTACCCACATTTTTAATATTACGGCCTCTCTTCCATAGTGCTCCGTCATCTGCATACAGAGCTAATCCTATTCCTGGTTTATTCACTTTATCAAAAACATCATTGATCATTAAATTAAACAATAATGGACTAATTGCACTACCCTGTGGAGTTCCATTTAGAATATTATAAGGAGCTGATAATTCTTCCCCAATTTTCACCTGAAAGGTGCGTTCAAATAAAAATTCTAAAACCCAATTTTAAAATTTGCCACCTATTCCAATTTTATTCAGTTTAATTAGCAAACCTTCCCTCCACAAAGTGTCATAAGCCTTTTCTATATCAAAGAAGACTGCAATCATGTACTCTTTCATTACAAAAGCTTTTTTAATTTCATTTTCAAACAATACTGAAGCATCTACTGTAGACCTGCTTTTCCTAAAACCACTTTGAAATTTTGACAACAATTCTCTTTTCTCTAAAATATAATTCATTCGTTTTACAATCATTTTTTCCCATTACTTTACATAGCGTAGAAGTAAGAGCGATAGGTCTATAATTACCAGATTTTGTTATATCTTTCCCAGGCTTAGCAAGAGGAAGCACAATTGCCGTTTTCCATTGCTTAGGAAGGATACCCTCATTAATTATATAAATCCAGTAATATTTCTAATGCTTTTGGTGATAATTTCTTTAAAATTTGATAGCTTATCAAATCTTTTCCTGGTGTGGTACTCTTTGAATTATTAATTGCTGTTTTTAATTCAAAATAACTAAACTCATCATCCAAAATATTATTGAACTCTTGTTTTTTCTTGCAAACATCTCCATAGACATTCTTAATTTGCTGACGTCTTGTTAAAAATGTATCATCTAAATTGTCAATGCTATGAGCTTTAGCAAATGTTTGAGCCAATAAAGTAGCCTTATCTGTGATAGCTACCTTCCCATTTTCCTCCAGGACAGGTATTTTTTTAAAACTATCAATTCCATTCATCTTTTTAATCATACGCCAGACTGCATTTATTTCAGTTTCTCTCCCAATCGTATCACAAAAGTTTTGCCATGCTGACCTTTTTGTACTTTTAATAATCTTTTTAAGATAAGCCCTTTTTCTTTGATAATCTATGACTGCTTCTGGTGTGAGTGTTCTTTTTAAAAACTGAAATGCTTTATTCCTTTCTCTGATTGCTGCCGAGCACTCCTCTGACCACCATAGCACATTCTTTCTTGTTTTTATACCACTTGATAGAGGGATAGACTGAGAAGTTGCAAAATAAATGGCATTCACTACTTTGTTATATCTGTCATCAACACTACCCTCTATTGAGAGATCTTTGAACTGTTCTTCACATAACATTTGAAATTTTTCCCAATCTGCTTTCTTATATATCCATCTTACATAATTACCTTTTTGTAGTTGAATCTTATTTTGAATTACACGTCACTGGAAAATGATCACTTCCTATATTATCTTTAGATACAGACCATTCACATTTGCCAGCTAATGATGCTGAAACTAATGTGATATCCCAACCCGGTCTCATCCCAAGACGTCATATAACTGACGTTTTGGGACGTCTTTTGACCATACGTCAATATTCGCCTTTTTAGGGCCCCCTTAAACGTCGGTAAATGAGGTTATGGGATCCTAACTCTACCCCATACCTAAACCTAACCCTAACGCCGCCTTCACGCTGCCTTCACACTGGCAGTTGAAATCTCCCAACGGACGTCGTACTACACAGTGAAAAGCGTCGGACGCGGGTAGAACAAAAATGGCGGAGAGATTAAAGTTTGATTCTGTCAGTTCTGTATGATCTCTCTGATTAGGGTTATGCTGCGTGAGGAAAGTTGCTCAGGACGTTGACATGTCAGGTCGGCTAAAAAATGTGATATAGTGGTCAATAGTTCAATGTCTACCTTCAATTTAATTGTATTAACTGCCCTTATAAACGTTAGAAAGTCATGAAAATAAAAAAATGACATCACAACTTATCGTTATAAAATCAATATTTATTTTATTAAAAGTTAATAATTCAGGTTTGTTTATCAGTACCATAGCAACGGTCAACTTCCGCTGGAATTGTCGGATAGGAACCGCCCGTAGCTTTTCGCACGAGTTCAAATTTTTGAACGCATCCGGATGACCAACGGACACGATTTTCTTCGCACCGCACTCGGTCGGACCCGTTTCGGACCCATTCGCATGCGGTCTGCGAATCTCCATAGGAAATGAATGACTTCCGGTCGTTTCGCAGCCGCATCGGAGCTGATTTCAACTGCCAGTGTGAAGGTGGCGGCGCGGCGTTTTTAGCCGACCTGACATGTCAACGTCCTGGGCAACTTTCCTCACGCAGCATAACCCTAATCAGAGAGATCATACAGAACTGACAGAATCAAACTTTAATCTCTCCGCCATTTTTGTTCTACCCGCGTCCGACGCTTTTCACTGTGTAGTACGACGTCCGTTGGGAACGTATTGCGTATTACGGAGCTGATTTCAACTGCCAGTGTGAAGGCGGCGTAAAGGCCATTGCACACTGAGCACGAAATATTCGTATGCGTATTTTCGTGTTCGTCAGCCTAAAAATTCGTCACGCATAGAAACCTTGCACACCGAGTCCGTTGCGTATTTCTTAAACCTTTGCGGGAAAAAACGCAAAAATACCAAATGGATTCGTCAAGCAGTGAGGATGATTTTTGCCCTCTCTCTTATTGAAAAGAGAAGAAAGAGAAAATATTACGTCCATCCAATCCTGAAATTGCGCCGAGAGGAAGGAGAGTTCCTTATCAAGGAGTTGCGAATTTATCCTGAGCGATTCAAAATTTACCTCAGAATGTCAGTGGGACGCTTTGCTAGCGATTCTGGAGCCACATATTAAAAACAAGACCACCAATTTCCGTGAACCAAATCGATTCTGAACGGAGACTGGCAGTGTGTCTGGTATGGACCAGGTGTGGACAAACACACGGACAAACACACACCCGCGCGC